CTAAGTGATCATTTTCCTGGCTGAGGATCGTAGCCCATCTGATATGTCAGTCACACCACAAATGGAATTCAGCTGGCTACGCTGGTCCATCAGTTTATATTTTGTGGTACCAACTTTTCTTTCCGGAATATCTGTGCACCCGACAGTTTAGGCAATGTAATTCATTCCACTGTCTGTATGATTTTATTAAAAGGTAGTTTAAAACAATTTAGTACACGTTGGAGGTTTCGGAACCCAACCCGCGCTCTGCGCGTCTACCGGAGTCTGTAATGTGTTTTCCCATTTCCAATTTTGTCCATGCTGAGCCGAATTAAACTCAAGGTTCCCATCGTCAATACATGTTTAAGGTTAGCTGCATTTCTGGGAGAAGTGGATGCAAGAGTGATCAATTTGTGTCGACTTAGGAGAGCGCCGGAAGCGAGAGAATTTGGACAGTCAGATGGTGCAGGGCGTCTGCAGCATCTGGCTCTCTTCTTCGACCTTGAGGTAGAATTTGAAGTGTCTGTTTGAAGTACGAGCGTGATCATATTCACTTCTGAGAGTGCGATCTCGGTAGTCCCCATATGTTTTATTGTCTCAATCAAGCTTTCACACATAACTAGTTACAAGTAACATACTGGCTTATTGAACAGAAGCAAAGAACACCGGATGTTTCGTTGTGCCACGTTAACTATTGGACTCACTTCTCTGCACCTTTAGGACGTCATAGTATAGTGCAGCTTGAGCACGTTATCCCCATTTAAGGACTTTGCCACATTTCTTTCCTGAAGCGAACACGCTGTGTTATATCATGTTTGGACTACTGGTTATACTTATTGATAAATTGCCGTTTATGAGGGTTACAGCAATTTCCGAGGTCAACACAGAGACAATACTTAATGTTGGTCAAATTTGGTCGTGTTTACCCGGATGCGCGCCAGAGACTGATCGACCGTTGTGTGCAGGTTTTATTTGTTGCGCATTGAGCTCATCCAGTTGTGAGGGCAGAAGGGAGGTCCCATGATATCCCCATCGCCTCCCCTTTGGCACTAGGAGCACGTGCTGGTTGCAAACGACATGAAAACTGTACCTCAACTACTGTGGAAGATGGTGTTTATGGGCGAGTCCGGGCTTATTAGGCAGACCAGAAATTGATCTATGTTACACAGTAATACAGTTAAATAAGGAAATTAAATTATTAATCGCACCTACCTAGTTATGTACCGTTTCACCCAACATAAAATCTTTATTTATTTATGTGTTCGTATACGTGGGCTTAAGTGCGATAGCCCTAAAATAGTTAGAAATGCGAGCAACAAATGCAAAAGGAGATGGTAAAACGTAACATGACTGGGAGAACGGAATAGATTAACGTGATCCGAATGAGTGTGAAATAAACATAGTACCCAAATACGGAACGAAGTAATTCTGTCAAAAGTGGAAGTGTTCAACGAACGCGGCCGCATGGCACATCCTGAGAATCGTTGTCATACCCATGCTCGCACGATGGTGTAATTACATTTATGTTTCTGAATGTTCGCAAATATGCATGCAACTAATAAAATCAATTCAGTCAGGAACATCACAGGACCATCAAAAAGGTACGACGTGTATCAAATGGCAAAAAATGTGACACTTCAAAACGGATTCTAACCGGCAGTGATACCAGAACGATAGGTCCGTTTCAGCAATATACTTGTCCGTCTCAGTGTAAAGCAGTGGCAAATATTACAGCTGGACAACTGAATAAAGCTTCGCCGTAGTATTACTCCTTTCGCTTAGAAAAAGTGAAGTACTTCTGAACCATACTGATTAATTTAAGATGGAGGGCTACAGGTGCACGAACACAGTAATGCGACAGCAACCTAATGTACATCCAATGTTTTATGGGACTGATCATCCTAAGCTGCACGACACTCCATGCGTCTACTTATTCGCAACGGATATGCAGAAACATACTGGCAGGTAAAGCGCGAATAAAACTCGTGCGTGTTGCTGTTTAAAAGCGTGTCAATAATGGATTAGGTAAATTATTACAACAAATATAGCACCGGTACCACTGCTCACCGAATCCTCCCTGAAGCAGTTTATCTGAAAGTTAATAGGACAGAAACCAGTGATAATAAAACGGAGGTACCAAATACAATGCACGACAAAGCGGAACAGTAAAACTCTCCGCCACCAATGGTATAAAGCGCACTGATCTAAGTGATTGATCCACATAAATTTACCGAGTACGCTTAATCTGCCATAACACCATACCATTTAATTGGTTTATTGTTCTCTTTATTAGGTATTTGGTCTTAGGTGTTCGCGCTAAGTTATACGTTCTAATTCGGTGGCCTTTCTACATAAACATAAGTTGCAGTACCATTAAATTTCTCCGAACATAAATTCAAAGATAAAGACACCAGTTTTCCGCGATTCCGCGAAAAGCGGAAATTTCGAAGAATTTACTAACTTTTTACAGAAGATTATTAGGGGGAGTTGAAAGGTATAGGTAGAAATTCGTCACATCTAGACTCACTCAGACAGTCGCCACACGCTCGGAAAAGCCACAAAATATCGTATCTGATCAGCGTCAAAACGTTGTAGTCAGTATGACCAAGTATCATGTTGGGCTGTATTGTAATTCATCAGTTTTGAATTATAACTACCTTGTATATAGTAGATGTTGGGGCCTTGAGTTCTTGTTATTCAAGTCCTCGCTGTGAAATCACGGAATGTTAGATTCATGTCGCGGAATTTACAATTTTACTCACGGTATCGTGGGATCGTTACTCATAGGCTATATAATGCAAAGACTCGCAATTCCTTGATTGAAATGCGCAAACTCATGAAGTTTACGACCAGATTTTCAGTTAGCCTCCGGTAAATTACGAGGGCTCCAATTTTCTTAAGTCTGTGTTGGACTTTTAAGCAAATAGTGACTAACGGGGCATGTTTCTAAATGGAATTTGTAAGCCACAATATCTAAGCAGTGCATTTTGGCATTCTGCCTATTCGAGCAGTTCGAGACAATGTAGGATGGACCTAACAACTCAGCTTCCTACCATTGAGTGACGTTTTTGATGACCGCACGAATCTCCGTAAAATTTGATGTTCTTATGACTCAGTTCGCCTAACTGATTTCAACATGTCGTTTCGGAATAAGATTTTTAGTAGATAACGTTTCCAAACACAAGCATCCCTGTTGAATTTATAAAGAAAGCTTGATGCATAGAGCAGGTTAGCCAGGGATGAACAGATAACAAAATGGAATGCTGCCTAATCGTCAAGTTTTATGGTGCTACTTCGTACAATTCTATACAGTTATTCACTGCCGAGGCTCCTGAACGGCTAACTATTTCAAGAAATGAGATGCCAATGATTAGTTGCTGCTTTTCTACTTCAACTGCAGTTTGCCTAATGTGGTTTATGTTCCAACGACCGAGTTAGTTATTAACAAAGTCATACTGAGAAAATGTATACTGGTCGGTCAAGTTTTCAATGTGATAATCATTATGCGATCTATGCGACTATCATCAAATTTTGCTGAGAGTGGCCAGAACAGATTGTGTATACCGCCAATCATTCCGTCCGGATCCACCTTCCAATATTCTAGTGGCTGAAACTACACAGTTAGAAAAATTCATCACAAAGTACTTAATCAGATTGAGCAGAGGCACCTTCGCCGCACTATATCTGAGACGTACGAAAACATTCCTCTTTTCTAGGGGCATATATATAGTTATATAACATTGTATGCACATGTTTATCTGTTTAAGCCAACTTCGATGGGTAAAGAATCGAGGGATATCTTGCTTCTGGTGCATCTCGCAAAGCCTATCGAATCTCATCCTAAGTATGTATGATCTAATCATATAATAACATGGATTGCTCTTCAGTAGCATCAATTCAATACAAGTGCTTAGCTTTTTCGGTACAAATAAAACGGCAATAATGCAGCATCAACTGGTTTGAAAAATATGCATCAAGCTGAAGAACCGTCAAATAAAAGGACTAGAGTATCATATGTACATGCAATAACTGCATATGACATATTGGGATATTCCCAACATAAAGTAGAAGCAAAACAAGTGCGGGAAATTGGAAGACAACCAGACTTATTAATTAATAGGAACCAATGCCATTTTTTCTAGATACTAATCACTCTAATATCAATGCCTACAGTGCATTGTATTTATGTACGCAAATTAGTATATCTTGCTCAGATGATTCTCCGTTCGTTTGAGTTTTGGAAGATATATTTAGCTTTGCCTTGTTTCTAGGATCCCGAAGTTCTCGACTGCAGTTCAAACAGCTCGGCACACATTCGCGCCATCCACGAATTTTAGTCGCACTCGCTTTTGTCTGCGTTGACAACGGTTCAAATATTTGCATAATAGGTAGTCTGGCTTATCCGCGTCAACATAACCGAAGCTTGACACATGTACCTTAGGCATCCTAACCAAGCTCTCTATCACTCATATTTGTGACTCCCACTCACTGGTGAATGATGGGCGTTTGGTGGTCTCAAGACGTACCACTACTCGCTACGCCCATGCAGTGTAGCTCCGGTGTGTGGTGGACCGGGTCGCCACCCAGTTTTGAGAACTTGGCCCGCATTTTCCGCAGGCTGATCCATTCCATTCACATATCTTGTAGTTAAGTAGTTCATTCATGTTTTCGTCATTTTGTCCTACTGTGTCACTCGGATCAATGTGAGCGGTTCTACTTGGTGGAATTAAATAATTCATGATTATGTAAACGCTTTGGCGGATTAAGAAGCAAAATATGCTGCATTAAAAATTTATATGGAATATCTATTTACAAAGTACATCGTTTGAGTTTCATTATCTTAGTTGATTTAGCTAATGATCGCTGATTGATGGCCTTTAAACTCAATCCCGAACGCGCACTTTTGAGTTGCGCTATTAAACCTGTTTCAATCAAGTCTAAATGTTTTAACACCATGAATCCTCTGTTAACCGGCTGCTTATAATAGTATGGGGCAATGTACATGAACATCAACATTGGTATTATGACGTACACTCTCTGAATTTTCCATAATGAATGGCTGCAATTCCTCGCGAATGTTGATCAGGCTGTAGCAACCTCCCGTTTCTCTCTGTTACACCGTGCACAGTGCAGACACACATTAAATCATTGCTCCTGGGATCGTAATGCCAACGGTATACTGCGTCGTCAGCGGAAACAGGAAGCCCTAAAATTTGGCGCTACATAACACAAGGAGATGGAGCTTTAGAATGATATGACAAGATATAAAAATGGGGTTACTTTGAGCAAAACGATATGCAGATTATGAATGAAGTGTTCATTGCATAAATAGGAAATCATCTCTGCATTTCTATCATAACTAGCTCATGAGAAATGATTGTACATTTTTTTCCTCATGTCAATGAAGTCAAATTAATCCAATGCAGATTCAGTTGCAAACGATACATACCTGTCTGTTGCAGTGCATCTTAATGCTAGAACCAAGCGTTCCGTTCATGTAATCCAAATTTGGTTCCTCATCCCGCGTAATGGAGACCGACAAATAAACTGCAAATCAGTAGGCGATGGGCATTAGTAGTTGCGTAACAAGAATTTGTCTGTATGCATTTTACACAAACGGCGGTTAGGTTTGCATATCAGCAGTTATGAGTAATGGCTCCCAACGCCAGAACAATATTTCTAATGTGGAACGAATCTCAGGGACCAAATTTAAGCGCAACAATTGAAAGAAATTACCTGTTTACCGAAGCACTGCGTAATCTTAACTTTATAAGAACATAACAAAAAACAAAACCGAGAAATTGTTAAATGGATTTCAATTAAGCTGCCTTTATTAACTCTATCTGCAAAGTTATAAACTAATGAGAACTCTTGTTTTAAATGACGGGAACACATACGGTTTCTGCTACATAAATCCCACGTCTTTGTATTTATCTCATTTGTCCATATAAGCGAGAAACACCTCAATGTCTGTTTTTGCCGGTCCCGAAATAATGTAAAGTATTTGAACTAATTGCCATACACACGCTAAATGTGTCATGCTTTGACATATATTGCGCATATGTTTATGGACACACTTAAACATGATTCGTATTGTTTATACTTTAAGGCTTACATTTGTGGCAAGTTTCAGACTTACAGCTCTGAGCTCCGAGTAGATAAAGCACAAAACACAGAATCTCTTGCGAATACATCGCTAGACAAGTCTGGGCGTCTACATGTGCTGCATCAATTTATATGTGTCGACCGTTGGACCAGCAAGACATGTGACATGGTAGCATATTCTATGGCCAATATTCTATGGGCCAATCATGAAGCAGTCCAGTCAGCTCTGCCCACAACATCTATCACCTTCTAGTTGGCCAATACACTTCACAGCGATTTGAGACCGTCAACGTTACATTCAGTTCATGTAGTCATTTTACGTTGTCTGTTAGTTAACACTAATCTTTCGGTTATTTTCTCCTCCGACTGGTAATAGATAAGTGATTTAAACGTAGTTTACAGCTCTTTTGCTATTAGTCGTTTACACTGTACATCACCGTCAGATCTTCTGAGGTCGCACTTAAGTCCTCATGGATGACTCAATTTAGCTTTCCTTTTAGAACAACCAAATCACAGTACTCTGCAAGATCAAAAGGCAGACGCTTAGGAGAATAAACAGAAGTTTGAAATTCTATAGACCGTTGATACAGGCCCAAAACTTAACAGCCTCAAAGTACAAAACATTCTTCAGACTGGCAATGGTAATGTTAGAATTTCGACGTGAGGGCATTATTGGTCAATTTGCTTGATATCTTCCGTGTGGTTTGTCCCAGTAGCTTCTCCTTGCAACAACCACTAAAGATAATGCGTGGAGCTGAACCTACCCTTGATGTTTCTGTAATGGGAAATAGCTACGTTTGTCATCGCGGTCAACGTTTTGAATTTTAACTTAATGTGTATAATCTCTCACGGTTTGTTAACCCCGAACAGACTTATGCAAACTAACCACGGACTAAGCTCAAAATTGAAAAGCGGGACATTCAGGTTTTGCAGACAAACTGCCCGACTGCACTGTCGTTTCTTCTGTTAACAAACCGTTAATGGTTTCAATAACAAACAACCCCTTGTGCAATACAATTAATACACCGAGGTGCGAAAGCTGTGAGTATACGGGGAAACACATCTTACACGCGGCAGTATCAATGTTTCAGCGATTAATGCTGAACATCAAGTGTTATGAAACTTTGAATATGACCAATCTGTTAAGTGTAAATCGGTATGTAAACTGCAGTCATGCGGATAAGAGTGAAGTGTCCCTAAATACATGCTGAACATAGTGAATGTCACTCTCACATAGACGAAAACAATAGTTGACGGGTTTCGCACTTCAGCCCACGACGCTGTATTAAGCAAACAGAAACACAGCATCCCGGGACGAGGATAGGTATGAGTATCCAATATGCTAAGTGGTTGGCTTGGTTAGGTTTACAGTTAACCTGAATGAAATGGGGTTTACATCAATACGTCATTCCACAGTGATCTCTGCAATCACAGTATATAATCGTGCTTATCAATGCATGTAAATATGGCTGAATATCTGATGTATAGTATGGTTGGACACAGCGAACTATTTTTATATTGCTGCAAGAAGACGCGAATGCATGTTTGCATAGCAACCGATGAGTCGGACTGATGGCAAGACAGATGCATGGGAAGGTAAACGAACCATGCTCAAAGTTGAACAGAAATAAAGTGTATACAATCTAGAGCTAATAACAGGACACAAACTGCGTATGAAAGATCCATCAAGGCTTTAAAGGGCTGCTCTCAGAAGACTTCACAAAAAAGATTTCAGCATTAAGAACTTTGCGAGAATAAACGTCCACACAACGAGATAATTTGTCCTGATTTGAATTATCCGTTTCGAAAGAAATCGGGGTCTGATGTGCCATTTGTATTTGATTATTTAACTTCTCCTTGGACAGTGTGGTCACGAATAAACTTTATGAGGATTTTGTCAAATTTCAAACATTTTGCCAAGTCCATATTGAAGTAGACGAAACCTTGGCCTTGGAATCTGCACACGGTATGCTAGAGGAGAGCACCTTATGCAGCCGCACCGCATAACACACAATAATGTTATAAACCGAAGAATGTCAGTTTTCATGTTTGGGTTTACCTGACTTTGGCGTCCCCCAGACGCTTTGCTAGCGAGAGTTAATAGTCGTATTGGATGGTTGGGGCAAGTGGAGGTGAAGAAAACGAAACACAACCACAACCGCAAAATAGCGAACTGAGAAGCCTTAGTGCATTATTTAGTAATTCGTATTGTTTTGAACTTTCTAGATATTCAGTCGTTATTCATAAGAAATCGAGTCAACTACATGCAGAGCTTAAGTGATTTTGTATACTTACATTGTATACAGTCGAATAAATTATCCGGTTGCACAACCTCCCAAGAATTGCGATTACCAATGGTAGGCAACTGGCTGGTCTAGTTCGATGATCTCGGAAAGGCCATCGCTGTGAACGAATCTCAGCACCTGTTGTTGGGTTGACACACTGTTGGAACGAGCTGAAACTTCCCGAATTAGCCCGATCGAATCGCTTTCTCTAATTTATAGGACTAGTAAATGTCAGTGCTGAAAACTGTATGTAAATAAGTACCAAAACCAAAAGGTGTAGGAGACTGAAAACAGCCGATGATATTCGTATGGCTACAAGGGTGGTGGAAACGAGTGGAGTGAGCGTCAGCATAATGACTCGTCAGGCAGAAGTAAGATGAAGTAGATGCAGGCAAATATGGATCTAGTCTGGGGAAATGGAGACAGAATTACCCTTGCACCTTCGAGGTTTATTAATGCAATACACAGTAAATAGGAAGTATCTATCGGGCACTTGAATGTTCACTATGCGGAGAGATCAAATATTTATGTACTGCTAGCAGGAAATGAGTAAATGTTTCAACGAGGCAAGTTTACCGACAAACTTTAACCACATTGCTAGATGCTTTGGGATTTTCTGTTGGATGTAATCACAGAATGATCACCTAACTGAACGCAAGCGACTCAAACGCGTTTTAAAAATGTGCTTATTCACATTAAATTAATAGTAGCCGGAAGTCGCAAATTACCATGTCTAGAGCTCATTCAATCTGTAATCTACGCAGGTAGCTGTGAATTTTGTTCATTGCTGTTGCTTGGACCGTAGCCAAAGCTGATGGAAGATGTGTGCTGCCCGCCTGAGAACACTGAACACCACGAGGCGTTCGACTTCAGTTGATCTGGAAGACAACCTACTTAGAACGCGAGACTACTATAATAGTATTCGAAATCTCTACCCCTTTGGCTACCGTGTGACGACAGAACAGCTTCTTAACAAATGTTAATGACTGATGGGGGTGCTTCAAATTGCCCATCCGCTCAGTCGTGGAAAGTTATGACAGGCGTTGTCCGTCGTAACTCGGTAGCCAAAGCGTGGTGTTTTCGGATAATTTTCCATTAGTCCCGGGTTCGAGTCCTGCTATCTACACCTGGTGAGATCAACTAAGATCGAAACGCGTCGTAGTATGCAGTGTGTATTCGCATGGCAACACCCAATTCCCATATGCCACATGTCGTATACTAGAAGCGACATTGGTTAATTACATAAGACATTAGAGCCTAAAATGTGCAGTTCTGTGAATAAAGCAAAAATATACGCTAATCTGGTAAGATTAATGTGATACATGTTCCTATTCAATTTGTTTTTTCTAGTCAGGCATAGACTTATCCTGAATTACCAAGTATTAAGCATAAGAATTTGATGTTACATTAAATGGTTATGAGAGCACGATTCGAAACGTAAAGTTTACCCTAGTAATGTTGTCTCCATTTCTACTCATAGAGTCATGGCTTTTTATTCGATAAGATCTTACGGGAGACAATCTTCACCGCAGTTCTTCAGCAGCCATGAACTGGCGTGGGGCAGCCTAAGTAAAAGTGATTCAAATCGGAATGAACTCCATACCTACTGAGAAATCAAAAATTTTCCAGGTTTATAATATAAATAGGTTTAGTATATATTTGTATTCGGGCTTCATTTTGTTCTTTACGCTAGAGGCTGAAGTGAGGAAACCGTTGCGCCAACAGCGCAACGCAGCCACGTGCCGAGCACCTGCAAAACATATTTTTATTGTAAAATCTTTCGAAATGAGGATTTTATTCGTTTTTACCAGGTTCGTTTCATGTGAATTCCTCAGCCAATGTTAAGACTGTTGCCTCATTTCCATTGCGACAGGACAAATCCCATGATTCATCCCGGAGGCAAAACGATATGACTATTGGATGGAGGTTTGTTGATGTGGCCGCTTAATACAGACATTTGCTGGACAGTTTGTGGGTGCGAATCTTTAAAAAAGTGTGAATTACAGTCCACCTGAGTTAATCTCCTAACCGGTGGACTATTCCTCATGACACCGTATTTGCGTTGATTGCCGCAGTTACTGAGGCACTTGCAGAGTTTACTGAAATCAGCAATCGTTTCAAATTTGAAAATGCCCACTTTTCTTCTGTATTCCTACAATTTGCTGTATTAAGATGCCGCTTACCAAACCATTCCCACAAGGAACTCTCCGAAATTTGAATTCTACTGCGCAAAGCCTAACTTCTCGTAAATTTGTATCAAAGGTTTTCCAACGGCTCGTTCACCGCCTGCTTTGCGCTTAGGGTAGATTGTATCAACCTCACCTGGGTTTGTCTTTCGTCTAGTTTCTCACTTTCGTAATCGACAGTAATTCATCTTTAGCCGGATTGGTGTTGCCAAGTGCGCTCACAGTAGTGAGTACCCATTTCTATCTATAGTTCCCACATATTGTCAAAACCTAAACCATATTTCTCGCGGATATATTCAACTGCATGACAGACCATCCGGCTAAATACAAACTTGTCGAAGGGGACTTCAATATGCTAGAAGTATGGTGGCATACTTATAAATTCCCACCTATGTTGTCCGGGTTACGATCGATTATTTGTTGGCAAGGCTGGTCACATCACGTTTCATTGCCAACACGAAATGACAACGTTCTACATATGGTCCTCACTTTAGGATTTCTCGAATGTAATGTCAAGATCCTGGACAAACTTCCGGGTAGTGATCATAATGTGGTGCGATTAAATTACTCTTTGCCCACACATGCATCGAAGTCCGAGTAGATTGATCTAACCTACCG